CGCGAATGGTGCGATCATCATCATCATCTCCGTTGGTCAGGCTAATGGTGGCCACCGAGGACTCCCGATCCCTGGCCACCGAATTGCCACGCGACGTCGGCGTGTGGGGCAGCTGCTTGGCCAGCTGGAAGGCCTTGGTCAGGATGTTTTGCGAGGAGCGAGTGCGTCCCACCGAACCGCACCGCTCCATGCTGTTTCTTTCGCGCTGTCTCTCAATCAGCGAGATGGTATCGTAGTCATCGTAACCGGAACAGGTGCTGCCCGGCGTAGTGCAGCGACTCTCCGAACCTCCTCCGACGTCCACTATTACTAGTCGTCCTTCGCGTCCTCCTGCCCATGGCGGTCCACTCCTCCTGCACATGATCCGTGCGCTTCAGGAAGTTCTGTATCTTCTCGCTCAAATAGGCGGACGAAGTGCGCGGATCCTCAAAGGAGGGCGAGGCTCGCATCGACTGGTGAACAGGTTGTTTCTGGCAGCCCAGGACAAAGGAGAGATTCCCATCAAAGACCACGGGTGAACTCTCCAGCTGGCGCATCTCGTAGGGATCGCATCCACCCGATCCGCGGGTGTAGCTCTGCGGGAAGACCCTACGCGGTGGCGTCTGCAGCCTGGAATTGGTGTTATAATTGGAGATCGAGGATTGGGTGGAGCAGCGCGAGGAAACCGAGAAGGCGGGACTGGGCGAGCGGTTGACCAGGCGGCTCTCTCCTCCTCCTCCTGTAAGCGAATTCAGTGGCAGTTTCAGCGAGATCTCGTACGGGCTTCCAGTGTCCTTGTTATTACCCAGCAAGGACGAGGAAAGCGACGTCGAGCTCGCGGTTCTGGAGGTGTATTTGTTGGTTGTGCTGGTGGTGTTTAGTGTACTTGAGGATCGTGTGCTGTTTTGAAGATGCCCATTGCTCAGCACAGGACTCTGCTCGCGCTGCTTGGGCAGCAGGCGCAGCTGCTTCCTGGCCTGGCTGGGCGGTGGTTTGGGTGGTCGTGCCAAAGGGAACGGAGCCACTCAGCGTGGAGTTCACCGAGGATCCACTACTGGTGGAGGCCAGCTTTCCTGATTTTGGCCCGCCGTTCATGGCTGCCAGCACACGGGCCAGAAACTTCTCCTTCTCCAAACGGTCCGTTTCCAGAGGTCCTCCTACAGAGTCGACTTCCTCATCTCCCGAAGCTGCAATGTCAGCAGGAGGAGCCTCATTAGCAGGCGACAGGGGAGGCATAAGGGTTAATAGCAAGCGGGGGCTCAGACGGGGTTAGGGGGGATCGGCTTAGGGGGTTTGTTTCTGTGCAAATTTCCTTGGCCAATATTTGTCGAATTTCGAAATTTTGATGTCGTTTTCGTGGTCGTTGTTTTGTTATATCAATCGAGTTTTCGTATTTTTTTGGTATGTGGATTCTTTTCTTTTCGTGTGTGTCGTTTTGGGGATTATATTATGCTAGGGGCTGTCAAAAACTTGAGACCGTTGATGCAATTTAAATTTATCTCGGACTGAATTTTTGTGCGGCTTGTTGTTGCTGCATTTATTTCGCGCACGCTTCAAATTGCCAACAGATTTTCCTTTGTTTTCGCTGGCTTCTTCGTTTTTTTATGGCTTTTGGCAGCGATTTTTCACACACGCACGCGGCAGGGAAACGGATCGAGAGACAGATCAGATCGGATCGGCTGGTATCGGATCACATCGAATCTACCGGATCTTGGGCTCCTGGGGCCTCAGGCGTACGCGACGTTTGCTCGGCGACTAAGTGATGCGTACGGTTTTCGCTTGCTTTCTGGTCGAAAAGCTTCTCGCCGGCTATTCGGCTATTTGCCGCTCTACATTTTGGCAAACCAATATAGAGAATATCTCTTTTCTGTTTCGGTTCTGAGGAGAGATGGGAGAGTAGAGGCGCCATCGAGCCAAGTCAATTGCAACACCACAGCAGCCACAGTTCCGGCAATATCACATAATCTTTTGGATCTCTTCTCGGCCAACTGTTGATCCAATAATTTGGCAATCTTTCGATGGCATTATGTAAAGTCTATATCGCATTTTATCCCAATCTACCAATCGCAATCCCAATCCCAGCTGCAACTCAACTGTAGCGCGACAGAGTATTATTAATGATCTTTTAGAGCATTTAAAAATACATCTGGCTATTCTGGTGTGTGCGATATATGCGAAACATTGCCATCCATCTCCACCAGAAAATATATATACGCTCGCACAGAGTCTCAGAGTCAGAGTCAGTTGGTGTTCAATGCCCAAAAAGCTAAAAATAGACCACTTCAAAAACCAAATAATACAAAAGAATAAAAGGGGGAATGGAAATCCACTGGCGAATTGTGCACCTTATTCATGCTTACAATGGGATAGGAAATCAATCTTCAATTGTTTATGCCTTTACCTTACTGAACAACAAAATATTAATTCCCTGATAATTTTTAAACTGTCAAGCTAGTTTTTTTGGTTTTAATTTATATATAGCTTTTAAATACTTATTTTTCTTGCAACAGATTCGGTTGCTCGATGAAGAACCCCCACTGCTGCAATACAATCTAAATATATTAAGTAAGCATTCAGTTTTTCTTTTTTGGCGCCCCACATATCCAAGCACTGCCAACGCAAACATTGCAAACATGATCTCGCAGATGACTTGTCATGTCAGATGGCGCAATTTTAATTGCATACCCATTTGGACACATGTCCATCGGGATATTCGGACTCAGAGACTCACCTTGGCTTCCAGCTTCTGGTTCTCCGCCTTGACCTCGCTGCGATCGCACTCGATCTTCTCCAGCTTGGCCCGCAGCATGAGCAGCTCCTCGTTGGCCGTCTTCAGCTGCTCCTCGGTGCGATGGACGTTGAGCAGGGGAGTCACTCTGACCAGGAGACGCCACCAGGGCCAGTCGCGAACGGCCAGGAATGCCTTGACATTGCGTTGGATGCAGCGAACAGCTAGTTCCTATAAGGTAAAGGTTTTAAGTTAAAAACTGTGACTTTATAGATCACCCTAAGTTTGTATTTACCTGAACCCTTCGCTGGGACATCTTTTTGCGGGCCAAGTAGCCGCGACAAAAGGCCTGCAGCTGTATAATGCGATCCGAGAGCAGGACATCGCGCTTGGCTTCCAGATCGCTGAGGACTCCTGAGCGGAAGAGGATCTGAAAGAAAGAAAATACATCCAAAAATAAGTATTAAATTTTAAAATATTTGGCAATTAATATTCCTAATATGGAAAATATTTATAATCATGATTTTAAAGTTCTTTAAATGTTACTTATTTTTTCCAAAGAAATCATAATTTTAAGCTCTTTAATTATTTATTTTTAAAACTAAAATGCAATTGACAATGTTAAAACATTTTCTAAGATTTTAGTTAAGAGAACTCAAATCGAAAAGCATGTATTCAAGTATGAAAATATATTAGTCTGTAGGGATTTTTTGCCGAATAGTAATTATAATGGAATTTAATCTTTTAAAGTCATTATCGGAGTAAATTTGTTTATAATTTTTTCCAAGTTTTCAGCTCTGAAAGCAGAAATGTTAAAAACAAATTATATATTAAAAAAAAATTAAAAAAAAATAGTACAATTGAACTCAATTTTTTAATGCCCTCTTTTTATAAAACTGAAATAATTTTTTAGAGAAAATGTTAACTCGGCTGAATTTCACGTGCCAGGTGAAAAATCCTATTTAAACCATTTAGGAGTAAAGCGGAAAGTGAGAAATCGAAAAATAAAATCACATCATTCCCAGGAAGTGAAGGTCAAGGTGGGCTGACTTGCAAATGAAGATGTAGATTGAGATTAATGGAAGGGGCGCAAGGGAGGCAAATTCAAATTATGAGCAATTTGAACACCTGTGTGCAAAAACAGAAGGAAGAAAAAGATGCCACACACTCGTACAGGTGTGAAAGTGAGAAGAAGAAACGACGCCGGCAGAGCAGCCAGCAATGAAAACGAAATTGTAAACAAGATATTGCCATAAAGGCGAAAACATCACTGGAATATGGTGCCCGGTGCCCTCCTAATGGCCAAAGGAGAGGAGGAGGTTCATGCAGGTGGAAATGCACAAAGTGTGTTTAGCATATTTAGGGCCACCCGGTTCCCATACAAATTAGCTGCTGAAAAGAGACACACCTTCGAGGTGTGGCAGTCCCTATCTCAGTTGTCTGTTTGTCAACGCCGAATTCGCGAGAAACTATTTTCTCGAAATTTTAATTATGCCCGGCACGTAGACAAAAATGAAAGTAAACCAATGTGAAATGGCAAACTAAACTGTCTTGTGCCGGCGATTGCCGAGTGTTGAGTGTGGAGTGCTGACTGTGTGTGGCACAGTCATCACCTGCTGCATGGACACCGGGATGTGACCACTTGGAGCCAGGGAGTGGTTGTTGGTACCGTCGTCACCGACCGATAAAAAGCCATCTGAAGTGCTTCTTTCGCTTCAAAACACCCATTAATTCTAATTTCTGATTTGGAGAAAGCTAAGGATCTCAGCGAAGAATGTCAAGAGACTTTCTTAAAAGAAGAATTTATTTAAAGGTTTAAAGTAACCAAGAAATAGGAAATATTTATAGGAAAGTAAATAAACATGAAACATATTTAATTAAATGAAAAATACTGAAATAAATAATAATTAAATAATAAAATCTGAATTTAAAGTACAGATAATAATATGCGGTTGATAAAACGGCCCTAAAACTATTAAAATAAACTGTTATTCAAAGTTGTATTACTTTCTAAGCACTTTTTTTATAAACAAACGATATATTTAGGAACTCTCAATCCAGAAACCAGGATATAGCCCAAATATCAAGGCAAAACTAACTAACGAGGAAGCGAGGAAAAGCTGGGAGAGTGCCAAGGGAGAGGAGAAGGAAAGATATAAACCCATAGCAAGTGGTTTTGTACAATAAATATTTATTCCATATACAGCATAAGTTAGATAGAGTTAGAGATATAGAGATATGTAGATGCGGCTGAGAATTAAGATTGGAGTGGCTGGGGAGGATCGGAATCGGAAGCGGAATCGGAAGCGGAACCGGAGGCCAAGTCAGTGCAGCCGCATAGTTACCTCTTTCGTGTAGGTGGGATAGATCTCCACCTGGGTCTGGATGCAGCGCACCGCCTGCACCTGGGCCACCATCTTGCTGGCCACCACAGTGGGGCAGGTTGTGGTGCTTTCCACTCTGTTTCCCAGCCGCCGCAACTGCCTCGAATTTCTGCAGCAGCTCAGCGATTTTGTTGTTTGATTTACTGCAGCTTCTTAATCTCCGTGGGTAGCTCCTCTGCCTCGTCTCCCTCGGATTCGCAGAGACTCCCGGTGGAATTGCTGGTGGAGGTGGAGGATGTGGAGAGCTGTGTATTGCTTATGTGTCCCGAATCATCCGAATCCTCCTCCTCCTGCTCTGCTCGAATCTCCTTGGTGGGTTTTTTCAGCGGTTTGGAGCTCTTCTTAACATCCTGCACTACTTTTACGAGCAGCTCCTGGTTTTTATCCGAGGTTTCTCCTAGTTTTGGGGGTATAATCTTGCAGGACTCCAGCTTGGGTCGTCCCACCTTCTCCTCGTTGGCGTAGTGCAGCTTCTGTAGCTTCTTCTTGTTCTTCACCAGCTGCGAGTGCTCCTTGGTGACTCCCCGACTGCTGCTTATTGTGGTTCTCTTGGGTTTGGAACTCATGCTTTCCACCTGACGCAGGATCTCCTGACCCTTGGCCAAACACTTGACCAGCAGCTCATCGCTGTGGGCATTGGATTGGTTTTGGCTCTGGGATTTTGGCTTGGCTTTCAGGCTGGAATTGGCTCTCCTGGCCGCAGGTCTGTTGATGGTTACTTGTCGCTTCTCCAGACTGGAATTGGCTCGCTTCGGCATGGCTATTGCTGGTGGATTAACTGCAGCAGTTGCTCTTGGTCCTTGGGTATTCAAGGTTAACAAAGAACGAGTTCTCTGCTTACTGGCCGCAGTTCTCAAACTAATCGGTTGCTCTAGACAAAAACTTTCGCTGCGCTTGCGCAGACTCGACTGTTTGCGCACTGGTATCCTGCTGCCATTCAAATCACTCAGCGAATTATATCTAGAATCGCCTCCTCTACTCAACAGCACTGATCCTGCCAATTCCGGGGACTGATACAGCTGCATCCTGATGCTCAGGGAGCTGTGTGATTTGGCCAACATGGCCGGGCGATCGCAAAACTCCGCCGGAGGAGCCACCATCTTAACTTCCTCCAACGGCGGATACTCATTCAGTATGTGATCGAAGCTCTGGAGCACCTCGTTCAGCTTGCTCTCATCGTGGGCCACCTTCTCCAGCTCCGCGAAGATCTCATCCTCCAGCGATTGCTGGGCCAAGCTGAGACTCAGGCTCATCTGGCTCTCCTCATCGCTGTCCACATAGCTGCAAACGCTGCTGGTCATTTGGGGGAATCGGAAACTGAACTGGACAACTCACAGGAACCGCCTTGGGTGTATATTTCCCACCCACACATCCTCCATCCACCGAAGTGCAGAGGGCACTCATGGATCTCGTGTGCTTACTCCCTTTGCAGTAAAGTTTTCCACTCAATTTGGGCGTTAGATTATCCTCGATTTTGTGCCTTATATGCGAAAAGAACTTCTTCCCAGCCCCTAATCCATGCTTAGTTCACAGTGGGCGTGGCATTGGCAGCAGTCTGTGGAGGATTACTGCGCACCTGGCTCAACTTAGACTTGACCGTGTGCTTGTACATTGCTCCGGGATTATGCAAAAAGCAAAAAGCAAGTGTCCAGCGACTGGCGGCGACAGCACTGAGTAAAAGTGCATATAATTTTGCAATAAATTGCAGTTTCCTTTTCAATATACTCGGAATGGCAAAGCACCACTTTCACGGCTTTTGGGCGGCTGCTATCGGCTATCGTATGGTGTTTTCTCTTCGGACTCAACGACGCAACTGAATTGGCTGGCCAAACTGAGTCCAACTGCTGGCTCTGCATTCGAAAGTGGCTAGCTGGCTGGCTGTTTGGCTGGCACATAAACACAGCTCAACGAAAAACTTGGCTGAGGTCGCGGTCGTCGTTGGTAATTGGCCGAGTCGAGGGAAAGGGGCGACTGCAGTCCAATGGAAAAGCCAACAAACCAAACAAACAGCGACCCCCAACCCATCTAAAGTGATCCTCTGGCTGGACCCATGATGCTAATTACCAGCACCAACAATTGGCCACACATGATCGACCTGCGGCTACCCAGTACTCAATTAGTCACATCATCATCATCATCATCGTCATCTGCACAAAGAAAAGCAAAGAAGCGAAACAAGTGAGGCAATGGACTAGGTCTCCAACTGTAACTGCCCTTCGGCTGCTTATTTGTGTGCCTCCATTTCACATTTTGCCTTTTCATTGCCAGCAATTGAACGACTTGCCCTGACTGTCCACACAAAAGATTCAAAGAGGTCCACGGATGGGCAGCAAAAGTGCCATGTTCATTGGGGACAAATACATAAATATTGGTATAGGCCTAGGTCTAGACTTTGGAGGTTGCAACACGGTTGAAAGGTTATTAACCAGAGCACGTTCTATACACAATTGGAAATTTTAAATGCCCAGTTTCCCTCTTAAATAGCCTAGGTATTTATATTACACAGAAAAAAATTGACTAAAGATCAAATGAATATGTTCAGGTCAATTTTATATTTTTTAAAGATCAAGACAAACTTTACTATCATTTTTAACATTTATGCAATAACTGTTATGATAAAATATCAAGTTGATATATTTGAATTATAAATTTGAAATTAATCATATAGGTTTTTAAATGATTAAAAATAGTGATGTAAAATTGTTAACCAGCTAATATCAATATCAACAATGTAACTAAAGCAATGCAACTAAACTATGTGCTCATATAAATGGTCAATAACTATTTGAATATGAATGCAAAAGGGAATTTGTTTGTTTTAAATTAACCTAAACCCTTCAAATAAATTGTAAATAATTCAAGATAAGCGGTTTTTAAACCAGGTTATTCAAATTAATAAGGAATTTATAGTTCAAGTTTGTATTTCTCAAATTGTATCTATTCCATTGAACTTTTCGATTAGATTGTTGGATAATTGCATTGACCTTAGACGACATTTTATCATCTTGGCCCTGCTAATATCCACAAAAATTGTCTAAACAAATGCACGTCGCATTTAAAGATCAGGAAATCCTTGATCCCCGCAGTGATCATTACCATGATCGTGACAGAAGCTGCTGTAACGATGTCATTGGGGCTTCCCTTACGGTTTTGTTTCTTTTTTTTCTGCAGATTGAGGCAATTACAAGAAACATAACTGAAAACAAGAAAACAAGTCCGGCAAATGTCGATGAGATTACACGGTGCCCGTTCGAAACGCATCGCACGCAGCTTCCTGGTTATTGTTTCATAATTAACAAAGAACTAAGGGGTGTTGTCACTATTAATACCGTCAAGCTAAAGGAGTGGAAGGCTGTGTCGGGTTGGTGTCGATAATATCGTAACTACTAAAGGGAGGGGGAAAAAAAAAAATGTTAACAATTTATAAAGCGTAAACTTTAATGAATGGTCCGATTTGAAAAATGTCTTCTACATTTCGATAGGTATAAATATACAAACAAAATTGCATTTATACTTTTCGGAAATCTTTAAAGATGTGGGCGCAGGACCCATTTTAAAATCGTTAGTGGGCGATTGTGGGCGTTAGAGGGGCGTGGCGCTTGGCTAAAATAAACTTGCGCTGCGTAGGAAGCCAAAGAATATGTGTGGGAAATTTCAACCTTCAGCTTTGTAGTTTCTGAGATCTCAGCGTTCATACAGACAGACAACGGACAGACAACGGACAGACGGACAGACGGACAGACGGACAACGGACAGACGGACAGACGGACATGGCAGATCGACTCGGCTGACCCTGATCAAAATATATATACTTTATGGGGTCGGAAACGCTCCTTCTAGCTGTTACATACTTTTGCACGAATCAGTATACCCTTTTACTCTACGAGTAACGGGTATAAAAACTAGTTTACATATTACTACCTATATAATATGCAGGGCTCGTCTGGGGGCCTGGAGATTAAAGCTTAAGACGCCGGCCGCGCCTCCTTCCCAAAAAAAAGGGAGGCGTTAATGAAGTTTTCGTGTCTCGATTGCGTTTGGTTCGGGCTTTTATTTTCCCATCCATCGCAACCATCCATCCAATCCATCCATTCGAATGGGATGGCTAATTTAAAAAGGTATTTCAACCGTTGACAGAACCCGCCGCCTTAACAGAGTTACATAATCATGTTCGAAACAGGCAGACAGCCATTATCATCAGCCACGAACCACTCCCCATTTCTAATGAAAGCGAACGCTGGAAATTTCACTTTGGTTTCGGTATAAGAAAAGAAAAAATTTAATGTGCACTGGTCAAATGTGGTTTCCCAGTGAGGCGAATGCAGGTTGCAACGTCATTTTCGATTTTTTTTTTTTGTTTTTTGGTGAAAGTCGGCGAGGCGACAACGCCGCTGCCGCCGTGCGTGTGTTCGTAATCATAATCGGGGGAATCAGGGGAATACACAGAAAAAAAATCGATGTGATTAATGTCAAATTAATGATTCAAACATATCAACTTGATATTTTATGGATTTCATAACAATTTTTGTTGAAAACTTTTGTAAAATAAGATTGCCATTTAACAATAAAAGCCGAGTAGGGGTGATTAAATGACCCAAATCCCCCTGGACCGCCTATCATTAAAACATATCAACTTGATATTTTATCATTTCATAAATGTTATAAAAATACTGTTAATAATACTTTTAGTATAATTTGAACAACTATTGTAAAGTAAGATATCTTTAATTTTTAATTTTCTTTTACTGTAGGTTTTGGTTTTGGATTCGGTCTCGGATTTGGACACTTTCCCGTACGTACAAGGCAGATGGAGACGATGCAGACGACGGCCAGCAGTCCCAGTCCCAGGATTGGCTCGGACACCACCAAATCCTCCTGCCCCTCGCCACAGAAAAGGCTTAGGATTTGAACTCGGCGATGGCGAAATGATGCGGCGACACTCGCGTTGCAAACTGCGCTTTTATCCGACCACATCTCGTCGAGAGCTCAGGCGATTTCCATTCGCAAAGACCAACTGAGGGGCAGCGAAGCCCCATCTTCCAGGCGCAGAGATTACATCTGGGGAATTCTATACCCGCCGAGGAGACAAGACAAGCCAGCAAATACAATGGCGAGATGAACTTGACCGTGAAAGCAGCCAGCAGTTGGCGTCATCGGCGAGCGGAGAAAGAGGCACACAGCACACAAACTGGACTGGCTGCAAGTGACGTCAAAGTGGCTTTATTACGATCACTTCACTGACCACTGACCACCGAAAGCACAGTTCGATTCACAGTTGCATCGCTGAGAACAGGAAATAAAAAACTCAGACGGGGCAGCCGAGTGAGTCCAGAGATGTTGCATGTAAGCGATATCTTCCCAGGCAGAAAAGACACCAGCGGTCAAGGATTTATAGCTAGTTTGGGATTTTTAATAATAATACATCAAACAATTGTTTGAACATAAATAAACAATTAAAAAGACTAAATATAAATATTAAAAGTATTATTTTCCTACGGGTACGCTTTATTTATCTTCTTCGCTTAGCACATTTCCTCAAAATCTGCCAGGTGCGAATTTTTCGTTTAAAATATCTCACTTACGAAATAGACGAGAAATTCTAGTTTTTGCTTTACGATCTCAAAGGGAAGTAACGACACAAGGCACCAATGTGAATTGGTCTTAATTTCAGGCATAAATTATTCAAAAGCTTCTAAAACCATTCTAATTCGATTAGAAGCTGAAGAAAGAGCCTACAACTTTGGTGAAAGAGAATCAATCGTGCGATAATTTAGTCAAGTCATGCTTACTGAGTTTGGCTTTAAAGTGGAGATGAGTAACCCGTTTGAGGTTTCCTCAAAACGTGAACGATGCTGTATAGATCCACCTGAGATCCATCCAAAGGGATCGCGATGATTGAGAGGTGGCCATTTAATATAATAATTGCAGGGCAAGTCCAAGTTAATGAAAGGATCCTCTGACGAGGCGGTGATTGTTCGCATGCCATTAACAATTACCAGGAATTACCAGGGAATGGACTGCAGTTTGAAAACGTTTTAATACAAATCAGTCAGTCGATTTAAAACTGGCAAATGACAGCCAAGGAATTCCAAGGTAATTTCTCGATTAGATTGAAAGTAACAGCAAATTGTTTGGACAAATACACGGAATTCCGCTGCGTTTCGTTTCGTTTCGTTTGAGATAACCATAATAACAATAAGCACATATTATTATGTGTGTGTTTGCCTTAAAACGTAAATCCTGTCAATAAACTTTTTGTAACAACCCGACGCGAGATCAGCACACACGACAACACGCACGGGTTTAACGATCTTAAAAAAAGATATAGTATATACATATTAACATGAGCATGAATGAGTTTTAACCAAAAATAACAGAGAGGAAGAGTCGTAAACTCAACCAAATACCTGCTAAATGGTTTGCAAAACAGCCGAAAGTTCCAAAGCCCAGATCTCTGAGCTGAGCCCTTTAACCCACTTGGGATCTTTTGGCCCAGTCACCAAAAAAGTGAGGAAGTGCCAAGTTCCAAGTGAGATCAACGACTCGAGACTTTCTGTTTACAGACCTCATTTTATTAATTCGGAATTTGATCGAAATCGGTAACGGGTACAATTAGTGTTTGCTCTAACTAGAAATTCTAGTTTAATGAAATTAAATAAAGATTATACAATAATTGCCAATAATTTATCTGTAAGTGAGAAGGCCGATCCTAATGCATTTACGTATTTTTTCGTTTATTTACCCCATGCAATTATTTAATTTATTTAATCCAATCCATCACGTTGTAATGGACAATCCCTTTCGAAACGACAGTTCAATTTGATTATTGACTCACAGAGACTTTGATAATTTTCCAATTAATATTAATGATACCTGGGGCCAACTTATATAAGCAACATATAAGCAAACTGGCAAAGATCAACCAACTGGTGATGGCGTTATCGACCCGCAACAGTAAATCAGTGGCCAGAGATATGCGTGTCGATTATATTATGCTAGCCAAAGCATTTATAATCAATGCATAAATGAATAACTTAAAGTGAAAGCCTATTGACCCACTATAAAGGCGCTTGAAATTAGCATCCATCCATCCATCCCATCGACCTGGTCGGCATCCCTTGTGTGGACACTCTATCGTGTTTGCCTGCACTTAGCCACAAGATCTGTGCTTTTAGCTGCCACTGCATTTTAACCAGGGGTTGCTACTTTCCAACCAGTTAGTTACTTGGTGGTCAATCGCATTCATCATGACAGTGACCGCTGCCGCTGCTGCTGCTGCTGCTGCCGGTAGGCCGCCCTTGCCGGCGGCAGAGGCAGAACGCAGCGGGCTTTATTTAACCAAGCTTCCATCTAGAATCTTGCAATACTTCGGTCCGAGGCCTGTAACGAATCGGAGGTCTGCTTAGCTCAGTTCGGCGTTCAGAAATTTCACGTTCTTTTAGTGAACGGCGCGCGCGAGCTTGTGATAAAATTTGGATCGCGAATTGAGACAGAAAAACAACAGAATACCTCAAGTCGCACTTAAGTGGATTTTAATTGACGCCTTGTCGTGAATTGTCATCGGGTTTTTGGTTTTGGTTTATAGGATCGTTAACGGGAATGCATATATTACGAAGGTGGCTGTGGCTGTGGCTGCTCCTCCTTGGCGCAGCGGGAAGTGAGTTTCGATCGTGACCATTCGATCTTTATGTTCGATCTACAAGTTCTGATCTCTTTTTTAGTGGATGCGTCCATTCAATACTTTGGCTATGCGCCTGGCAAGTGCGAAGTATCCATATCGGGTGTGATCCAGGATATGATTGCCACAGAGGCCCGCATCATCTCCGGAGTTCCACGTCCCTCGCAAACAAAACTGCTTCGCTATGATCTCTACACTCCTCTTAATCCCGAGGAGCGTCAGTTGCTGCGACCAGGAGATGTGACCATGCTGAGGAACTCGCACTTCAATCCCAAGTGGCCAGTAAGGTGGGTATTGTTATTATTGGATACTAAACTATACATACACAGAGAGAATCCTGACTTATACTCATCGAAAATATATAGAAGTTCAAGCTAACATTTCTTTTCCAAAAGAAGAACATTTGTGCTTGATTTCAAGGTAGATTTGTGCTGGATTTCAAGAACGAATGAATATTTCTCTCTGTGTGTCTAATGGAAATCATTTTTCAAATTTATCTTTTTCTAAATGATCTATTCACACTAAGCTTACAATATAATTAGTTGCAACAAAGTCACTGTGACCTAAATTGTTGATTAGTTACAGAATATTCAACGTTTAGCAAACAAAAAACTGAGTTAGATAGTCCAAAGTCTATTGTGTGTAATCTCGAATCATTAAATAACTTTGTAGGTTTTTTTAATCAAGCTTATTGCTATTCCTATATTTTCTTTTCTTATTTTTCAGAGTCTCCATTCATGGCTGGGCCGGAAAAGCCATCTCCTGCTCGAATGCCGCCATCAAGGATGCCTATTTATCCCGTGGCAATTACAATGTCATTATTCTGGACTGGGGTCGCCAGGCATTGGATATCAGCTATCCGAGAGTCTCCAAACAGCTCCCTTCGATAGCCGCCAATGTGGCCAAGATGCTGCGCTTTCTGCATGATAATACAGGTGTTCCCTATGAGCAAATCTACCTGGTGGGTCACAGTGCCGGGAGTCACATCTCTGGATTAACAGGGAAAATGTTGAGACCTCATCGCTTGGGTGCCATTTTCGCCCTGGATCCCGCAGGTCTCACCCAACTGAGCCTGGGACCCAAGGACCGGCTGGATGTGAACGATGCCCTCTATGTGGAGTCCATTCACACGGATCTAACGCTCCTAGGCAATCCGAGCACCAAGCTCAGTCACGCCTCCTTCTTTGTGAATTGGGGCCTGGGGCAGCCGCATTGTCCCAACGCCACGGCCACGGAGTTTGACTTTGTGTGTGACCACTTTGCGGCCATGTTCTACTTTGCCGAGTCAGTGCGTCAGCCCAGATCTTTGGCCGCCTTGCGCTGCAGTTCGGCGCAATCGGTGCTCTCGGCCACCTGCAACTGCAACAGTCCAGCTCAAATATGCACCGGCAACGAGTTCATGGGCGGTGAGCCGGCGGTGCCCAAGAGGGGTATCTTCTATCTGAGCACACGGCCACAGTCGCCATATGGCTATGGAGATGGCCTGGTCCACATGCGACGACCACGACCGTCCACAGTTCGGGAGACGGCGAAAAGGCGGCCATTCGGTTAGAGGTAGAGATCCAAAGCGCTCCGAAGCAGACAGACCAAAAAGAGATTTATATATTTAAGCCTAGCCTTAGCCAAAGAATGCGAATAAAGCAAAGATTATTTTACAATTGAATAACTATTAAGTGTATTCCTTTAATGAAACTTTATACTCGTTTTGCCCTTCTTAATTTTCATTAACTATTGAACGTGCGGAGTCAATGTCAACTCTTCAGTTTAGCCAACTAATTACGCGTGAGTAAAAACAATTAGATGGGAGTTGCCTTCAAATGGCGAGTGATTAATCTTATAGGAACGTGAGATCTAGAGATTACTTTGGGGGGAGAAACGACAGAGAGGCACCACCAATCAAACTGGTTCATCGACTGGTAATTCCACCAAAATAAGCAATTAAGAGTAAAATATATTTAATACACATATGTGTGTTTACGAAAAACCTGTTGATCTAACTGCTAAGCAATTAGAAACTGCAATTTCGAATTACATAAATTGAATAAATTTTTCACATGGATTTTTCCGACTTTTTAAGGAGGCCATAAGTTAAAAATTTACAGGCTGTTTATCATCTATACCAGAGATAAGCCTATTATAGTTTAAAGTAATGTAACTTAATAACTCGAAAATAATAATACAGCTTTTTCAAATTTGTTAAAAATGTTCGTAAAATTAAATACTTTTAGGGACTCACCTGACTAGGACCAATGCGATAGCTGGCCACATCCAGCTCGTTGACAGCTAATATCTGCTCCACGCTCACATCCTTGTTGCTGGCTAAATCACCGGCCAAAAGACCAAAGCGACGGACAAACTCCAATAATGGCACTGATTCGGGAAAACCCAGGCGATGCAAACGAGCCGCCTCCAGGACTTGCGAGCCACGTAGCTAGGGGATAGCAATTAGAATTAGAATATGTTAGATAAATCCAATAAACTAAAGCTCACCTGACTTCTTAACAGTGGCACATTGACCATTTCCTCCTCGCTGGCCGCTTGACCGGCAGCAGAGCTGGGTGATCCATTTGCGGTGAACTTGGTGTGTTTGCCAGCGTTGTGTTGCAGCAGATAACAGTGCACAAAGTGGGTTCCAGTGCGTCGCAAAGTGTCAATGATTCCGTCCACGGTGAACTTCACCTGCAGCATGATGGAATTGCGTTTCACTCCGGCCGTCGTGAAGGAGCGACGAATGCTGGACACGCGACGCAGCGACTGAGTGCCTTCCAAGCCAGCAAAGGAACCGCAAAACACCATTGCTCCCGATCCGCGAGTCAGTGAGCCGATGTAGAGGCGGTTGATCTCCTCCCTGCTGCTGTCCTGCAGCAGGGAGACAGCATTCCTAATGCCCGGATGCTCGCGACTATGCCGCACCCAGCCATCGACGGCATACAGCACGGGATTGGTGCCCTGCAGATGGTGGAGCACAAACTGTCGCGGACCGGCGCACTTGCGCAGCAGCGTGTGATGCTCCCGGTCACCGTAGTGCGAGAACAAACGCTCCAGGAATGTGTCGTCGTTGGAGTTTGGATAGATGGCTTCCTCATCCAGTAACCTAAAATATATATAACATTATAGTACATTTATTATTAACATATTAAATGTTAAAGTGTTAAGTTCAAAAAAAGTTATTGACTTGTGTGTAAAAAATTGTATCCTACATATGTTAGAAACATACACTACTAACACGACATGTTTTTTAACACAGCGTGTTTTTAACACGATGAGTTTTTGACATTAAAAAATTTTAAAAATGCAAGGTTTTCCAGAGTATAAGAATTCATATATGCTTTGAAATGGTTAAAACTAACATACAAGATATCATGTCCATATTGGGTTTTCATTTTCCTTGTCAGTAAAATGTAATTTTCATTTGTGTTAAAAACACAATGTGTAAAAAACATGTCGTGGTAAAAACACATTGAATAAAAAAAATCAACTGAGCTGTGTGTTTTATTATTATTATTTTTTACATGTCAACAATTTTGCTCACACTGTAAAATACAATTTTTCATGTTTTTAACATGAAAATTAAAAGGTTGAAGGTTAATATAACTCACCATAGCATCCCTCGACGATCGTGTTCGCGTAAATCTCGCTGGGATGAGCGCACCACATGGTTCTGGGGTGCCTTGTCGATGAGCGAGATCAGCGGACCGGGATGGCACTCCGAGGCCTGGTCCATCTCGATTTCCACCAGCTCCTGGGCATAGCGATCGCGTGGCGCCACCAGCGTGGTGTGATGGAAGAGCATCTGCAGGCGCTCCTGCAGATAATTGTGACGCAGGTCGGCCAAAGTGGCGCCCACCTGCTGGCCACAGCTGGCGGGGTTTTGGAAGCCGGGCGTGTCGATTAGCATAATCGAGGCTATGGTGTGGGCCGATGTGCAGATCTGGCGGTTGACCAAAGCCACCACGGCGGCCAGAGCCTCCGAGTAGAGACCTATGACCAGGGCCTCCAGGCATTCCCAGGCCCATTCGTGTCCGCTGTCGCCCGAGGTGGGCGACTTTGAGGGACTCAGACCGCCATTGGGGGCATTGGGTTGCGTCAGGCCAAAGGCAGCCGACGAGAGATCCTCTAGATTCACGCCCAACAAACCCGATGCCTTGCGCGCGGCCGTGGGATTGGCAAACTGAGTTCGCGCCGTCGATCCAGTGCCCAGTTTGGTGACACCCGCAATGCCCAGATGGTAAATGGCTGCCAGAATGCTCCAGATACCGCGCACCGCCTTGGCATCGATGTTCAGCGTCTCGAAGGCCTGCACCGTGCGCATAAAGTCATTGGCCGCCCGATGACGATCCTCCAGCTTCTGGGATAGCGATATAAACGGATGGCTGTCCTCCGAGGTGATGTTCTCCAGGTGCAGCTCCTTTTGCAGCAAACCAGCGGCGCCAGCCAAGAGTCGCGTCATGATGTGGAAGCTGTGTTCGTGGCCCAAGCGACGGCCAGCTCTCTGCCGTTCCGGGAGCAGAACCTAGGCGAGAAATCTGGTTATAAAAACTACACACAATTGTGGGTATTACACAGAAAACTTACCTGCAATGAAGCCGATGCAATCTGGCCGGTTTGGTCGAAATCCAGGCTCAACAGCTGCGTCATCCGCGTGGCATTCGAGTTGAGGCAAGTTTTTGTATTACCAAAAGCCTCCAGAATGGTGCACAGGGCATTGACCTTCTCCGCATTTATGAAGTTATTATAGGCCCCTAAAGAAAGAGAATAATTGTTTTTATTGCTTTTTAGAAACAAGTAACTTTTAAAAACGAGACTCCCATTCATATCATTTGTTTGAATTCATTAATGGGGAGTTAATAATAAAGAAATGGGTTCAACAGTCTGGCAAAATATCTATAAAATAATCCGGTTTTCATTATAAGTTGAATATTTAAATATTTATATATTATTAGTCGCTAATACCCAGATATTAAAATATTCAAGTCATTACTAAGCAGAATACTAATGTTTACGTCACTAAAGTTGCTTTTCTTTTTGTTATATTATACTTTTCTTTGGAAATATTTAAATACTGATATATTATTAATCGCTAATACCCAGATATTAAAATATTCAGGTCATTACTAAGCAGTATACTAATGTTTACGTCACTAAAGTTGTTTTCTTTTTGTTATATTATACTTTTCTTTGGCAATATTTAAATACTGATATATTATTAACCTAATACCCAGATATTAAAATATTCAGGCAATATACCAAGCAGTATACTAATGTTTACGGCACTAAATTGTTTCTTTTTATATTATACAATTCTTTGGCAATATCAGATATCAATAATATTTATCTTGACAATTTACATTTTCATTAGACTGTTACCCTTTTTGGGTCATAAATCTAACAATGGAACCGAACTGGAGGCTTGACTAATTGCAGCTGCATTTCTTGGCCAACAATGCAAATGAGCCAGCCAATCGAACGCAGATTGCATTTTGGTGTGGCACCGCTAAAAAACTGGGCCAGCCAGCAGCTAGGAGCCTGCAGCCTACGGCCAAAAGGAAAACAAACAAATAACAAAACAAAACTCCTACAGCCGCGACAATAAGACGATGGAAACGCATACCAGCTGCCAACGCCAGGTAGTTGAGTGCATGCTTGAAGCTAGTGGATTTGCCAGAACCAGATCGGCCCATGAATATCAAGCTCTGGTCGCGCCGCGTCTCGACCAGGCTCCTGTAGGCGGTCTGGGCCAGTGAGTAGACGTGGGGCGGCATGTCCTCCGTCTTGCAGCCGCGGAACATGGAGACAACCTACGAGCGAACGAACGAGAGAGATAAATAACCAGCCAGTAGTCAGTAACCAGTTGTCCACATACCTTCTCCGAGTAGAGGGACAGCGGGGCCATGGGATTGACCACGAGCAGCGTGGGCCCCGCCTTGGTGTGGATGAGATTGCTGGCGTATCGCTGGCGGAGGCAGTGGAGCACCGAGGCCTCGTTCAGATACTTCAGCTCGCAGATATCCTCGGCGAGATCCAGGGCGGGGCTGTTCTGCTTCTCCACGTCGTCCTCGTCGACGGTCAGCTGCTCCCCGTTGTGGAGGAGGCGCAGGTTCAGCTTGTGCTCCTCATCCCGGCCAGCAGTGGATGGCGTTGGCAGACGAATTGCGGCAGTGAAGCCACCGCGGTGCACCAGCCAAACACGCTCCGGCTGACTGGCATCCGCCACATCCGCCTCCAGATCGTGGCCCACTCCTTCGACTCCTCCTGCTCCTCCTCCTCCTGTGTTGCCATTCTCGTGGCGGCTCTGCGAAAAGATGGAAAAACAAACAAAGCAAACATGAAAATTGAGTTAAATTGGGGTCAACATTTTGTCGGCGCAACTTCAACTGAAGCAGCAGTGTGGGGTGTACTGTTGAATTTATTTTCGGATCGCCGTGGATCGGGGCACATTTTCACGCATTTATTCCATTTATTATCCCTACTCCACCACCGCCGCAGGCAGTCGGCCGTCGGAGTTTCAGTTGCCTTCGGTTTATTTCGGGTGCATTTCTAAATTTGATGATGTTTCTAAATCCTAATTAGCCGCCTAGACGCGCCAAATGCTATTGGGCTAGACAGCCAAACCGACGACGACGACGCGGATGCGGCATTATGCAACCCACCAACGTCGTCGCCAGT